AGCAGTTTACTTTTAATTAGTCTGCTTAGGGAAATGTAGTTTTAGTGATGTTGAAATGATGTTGAAGGCACATACATGTCTACTGAGTAATTACGTGTACTTTCCACCAGCTGCTCATGCTTCATTTCTTGTGTTATGTAACAGGGAACACTGCTGTGTTTTAAGGTTTAGTTCCCAGTTGATACTGAGGTTTCCAGTCCTCAGATGTAGTTAAAGCAACCCACTGTAACCCAGAAATTAGCTTCAGTATTTCCTGTCATATGGTTGAAAAGACTTGGGCATCTGCTTGATAATTTGTCATGTTTATTCCCATCAATGTGAATTTAATTTTAGCTTTTAAATATTTTAGTTAACATTAAAGAGCTCTTAAACATAACTGAGTAAATTTGAACGGAACATATATTTGCCATTGTCTGAAAGGGGCTGGATACTGAGTTTTAAGATGTTTCATTATAAATCAATTATATTAAGCAGCGTGGAAGATGTTAATTACAACAGCAGTATTGTAGGTAGAAGTGAAATTGTGTAGAGTCCTTTTAGTTCTCTTCAGGTGCTCCTTTGTAGGCTGTAGGAGAAATGTAAGGAGAAGACTCAGTGCGTTACTTCAACAGCTTTTGCTTTTGGAGCATCACATTCCAGTCCAAGCAGCTATGAAGCCTTGGAATAAGGCACGAAGATCTCTGCCAACATGCAGAAGTGGAATCAAACCAATGCTGCAACTTCTGAAGTAGTGGGTTTAAAAATAAGCTGTGCAAAACCAAAAATGCAAACACCTTTCCGCACTAAATAAATCTATGTGATGTCAGTTCAGTTTTATTTCTGCCACTTAACTTCTATCGCAAGTCATAGCAACGCAGACATCCCAAAGACCGGTGAGTTTTTGTTGTCAGAGTAACAAGCTGTAGACCCTCAAGGTATATTTTATCTGTGGTACCTCTATTGGGTTCATTGCTTGCCAGTCCAAAGATGTCTGACAGAGACTGGCCAACTTCACTTCCATTTATTATAGCCATACACTGACGAATGTATTTGATGTGATTTTTTTGGCTCAGTTGTTGCTGCAAGTGTTATTCACCCTCTGAAGGCACCTAGTCCACATTTCCTGAGGTTCCTAAAAATACTCATGCAATAAAAACAGTGACAGATTCTTCTAGTGTCACTCAAGCCTGATGTTTTGTTTAATGTCTTTTCTTTTACCCTTACCATGAGATACATTTTCTTCATATCTCAGAATTAGTGTTTCCTTCAAGTGGTTCAGCTGGAGCATGAACAAATGTGCTCAGCTATGCTGTGACCAGGCAGCAGGACTCACCATGAATAATTTTTCATTCATTTGAAGCCATGGTATGTTTGCTGTTACCTTTTTTGGTGGTGCTATGCGTGGAATAGTTTGTGTGTCACCCATATATTGTCAGAATCCCATAGTTTTTCTCTACTGGCCTGTTATCTTTTTTTAAGTAGCAGTTCTTTGTTTCTGTGAATGCCCTTGAGGCAAAAAATCCTTCTCTGGATTGCTGCAACAGAAAAGGAAAAGCCACTGAAGCATATAGTGCTAGCCTTCTTTCACAGGAATTGCTGTTATATTGACATACCGTAGCTTAGGACTTGGGATGCAATGACACCAATGCAGCCATATGATCTTTAACTACTGCCAGGAAATTTTCATAAGCAAATGCCCTCAAAGCCATCTGTTGTGCCCTGGCCACAGTCACGATTGCTTGGAGGCAAGGAAATGAGGGCTGAGCAGTCAAGAATTGCAGTTGTTGTCTTGGAACAACACTCTTTAATCAGAGGATGCTCTTTCACCTTAGGTGTAGTGTTAACAGGTGGAAAGGGACATTCCTGGTCTCCCACCACCCACCCTTCTCCTGGAGCCTTGCTTCCAGCTCTGCAGCATGTCCATGATTGCAGAGGCCCACATGAGGGTTTGGCTCACAAATAGGTTGGAAAACTAGTGCTATTTTTCTCTGAGATTGGTTTGCTGAAGCAGCACATGCTGCAGCTTTCCGATTGCTGGACCTGATGACACAAGTGGCAGAGGCACATGGAGTGGTGGGAAGAGGTCAGACTACTACTTTTGGCAGCAGCTGGCCAATAATATAAAAGAGATGTAACATGAAACTGCATCTAGCTAGAAATAGAAGGCAGGAAATGATAGACAGTGCATCACTCACTGCAGAATGTATGAAATGCAGAGGTGATAATCCACAAACTGGGACAGACTGAGTAGATCTGGTAGGCAAAGTTTAGCAGAAAGGAATAGAGACCCAGAGGCTGTTGTCCTAAAATGTGCTCATGAAGTTTGTAGCAAAAATGAACTAGAACCTTCCGAGGGATGTGTCCATCCTGCAGGGTAGCCTGAAGTGAATGTGATGTTCTGGAGTTTGTTAGACTTTTGCAGATTTTCTACTTTGGTGTTCATATTTTCAGACTAGGGTTGCACTGGATATATGCTTTGGATTTATTGAAAAGGCATGGGGCTGTTCTGAGCTCCAGAGGCATTGCAGTGTTTTAGCAATGCTTTGGAAGCTGTGCAGGAGGCGATTGCATTGGAGGTATTTCAGCCTGCTGGGAAGGCTGGTGGCTTTCCTGAGCTATCGCCACACTATTTCAGAAAATGGAACTTTGTTTCTTAAAGCTGGCTTGACATTATTAGATGCTTTTTTGTCTTGCTATGGTTTCACGTCCACTCTCATCACAAAAGGATTTCATTATGATAGGCCCATTGCAATACATATTGGAGCATTTTGTAGCTGCAGGATTGTGGAGGTAGGCAGGGACTGCTGGAGGCAGGTGAGGCAAAGCAGGGTCTGCAAGAGCTGGATGCCCAGAGCCATATTTGGTGATGGTATGGGCACCTCTGGGACGCAGGCTGCACAGCCTCTTGGGCAACGTGTGCCCATGTGTCATCACACTTCAAAGACAGGGAAAAGATTTTTTTACTGTATTTCAGTTTGTACCCATTGACTCTTGTCCTGCCGTTGGGTGCTGCTGGGAAGGGGTTGGCTTTGTCTTCTGCACGTCCTCCTGTCAGGTGTCTGTGCACGTGGATAGGATTCCCCCAAGCTCTCCCTTCTCATGATTGAAACAAGCTCCAGCTTGTTCCAGCTTCTTATATATACATACAGATGGTATATAAAATGTCATGTAAATACATACACACCTGCAACATAGGTAAATCATGCAGGTCCTTTGGGGTGGTGGCAAGTTCTTGATGGCCCAAAGCCTAGCAGTGCTGCTGGGACTGGGGCTATTGCCCTTCAGGGCAGTGCTTCAGTCACTTCACCATACTGCGGGCTGTTTGCTTGAACTTCTGCCATCCCAAACTCACAGTGAGTGAGTGCTATACTTCCCTTGGGAGCCCTGCTCTGCTGCTAGCCCCCTACAAGTGCCCACACCCTCTCCCAGCTGAGAGCCCATCAGCAGCCAGCTGGGGAGGAGTGCAGAGCATTATTTCTCCTTAGCCAGAGACTAGTGCTAGGTAAGACGGTTGCTGGCCATTAATAAATAGGGCTTGCATGTTGGACAGAGGTTTTATTTTGTCTTCAGGAGTGCTAGCTTGTGTAAGAGCCTTCTAAGAATGACTCATTCTAATAGCTGAACAGAAAGAGCAGTTTTTGGATACCATTTGCAGAATTTATTATTTACTAAGTAACATAGTTTATCCCTTCAAGTAGATTTTTTAAAGGCTTTCTAGGAGGCTAAATCCAGCTCTCTGTTCTATGAGGGCAGAGGCATTTCTGGAATAGTGTTTCATCATAAGTCACGAGATAGCCTGGAAACATAAGGAAAAAAGCCTACTTCTGCTTTTCTGCCCTTGTTTCAGGACAGCTTGGGGTCCAGGTGGTTGGTTTTGGGGCAGCAGTCTGTGTTGTACTGCCATCCTCCAGGTGTGCAGCTTCATCAGACACCAGACACAACGGCACATAGAGAGGAGCAGGTCACAGTGGGCTGATTTTGGTACCCAGTGGCAGCTCAGCCTATGCTAGTAATGCCATGCACTGGATATTTTTCTGAGGTAATATTGTTGCCCTTTTAGCAGAACTGCAGTCCAGATACACAGTTATGTATATGTACAACTACGTATCATGAATGTGCAAAACAAAGTTTTCCAAATGATTTCTTGGCCAATTGCAGGCAGTTTTCCCTGAAGACAGCATTGTGCATTATGTAAGATAATAACAACATCCTTGATCCCAAGCAGAATCTCAGTTTCCAAAAGGCAGTGGATAAGGAGGTACTGTGGTTTGCTGGAGTCAGTCTTTCTGGCTTTGCAAAACCACTCCAGTCGCTGTGTTCCTGAACCATTTGCTTGCATTTTCAAATCAAACAAGGTTTGCATGTCAGACATGCAAATCTGAGCCCAGGAGGGTAAGGATTGGCAAAGCTATAAGCAAGGGACAGCAGGATTTTGTGACAGAGTGATGTGTGTTCTGGTGATAGATGTAGGGTTACCAAACATGGGAGCCTAAGGATGGCTGTACGTGAAACTTGTGAAAGTGAGTGTTTTTCTGTATTTCAGAACTCGTGCTTGTTTTGTAGTCATTGATTTGCATCGGTTTGTTACAGTCATACTTGGGAAGAAAGTCAGGCTTGCCGAGCATTTGCTGCTGTTTTTTCCTCCTGGTTGTTAGAGATTAAATTGCTTTTTTCCGTTTGTACTACGAGGAATTCTCAGGCTTGTGCTTACCTTTTCAAAGTGTGCATTTAATTGAAATGTAAAGGAGATTCTTGTGTTACCTAACATGCAGTTTCAAACATGAATAATGATTTATTGTTTACCTTTTGAAATGTGAAGAATAACTTGTTATAAATCGTGTTTCCACTGTCACTGTAATCTGTTGAATATAAAACTGGGCTGTGGAAGAAGGGGTTTAGTACAGAGGGATGGATTGGGGTGGAGCTGCTCAAATCTCATCTTGTAACTTAAGTTTGTACATATTCAACATAGAAAAAATAATTTCCTGTGTTTTCTTTTCTTTTTTTTTTTTTTTTTTTAGCCTTCTGTTGAGTCTTCAAGTCCAGGTAAGAATTTCTGACATTTCCTAAACTTGTGGGGGAAGAGGGTATACTTCAAAAATTCTCCCTCAGGGTCTTTTCCAGTTGTAACCTAAGGCTGTGGTCTGATGAGTTCAGGGTAAGCATGGAGTCAAAGGCACTGTGTGCTCACAGTCATGAGATAACACCATTGCTGTATGGTCTTATACACAAAAGCAGCAAGGAAAGCAGTATTTTTTTCCCTCTAGGCTTGCTAAGAATGAGGAGTTTCATGCCTTCTGCTTTTAAAACTGGTTATTTCCTGATATTTTGGTGTCCCAAAGTTCCTGGTGTTTTGGTAATCAGCTGAAACATAAACTATGAATCTATTTTTTATAGCTTGATACTGCTCTAGTTAGTGATGTTTATTTCAGAGGATTTGGGCATCCTTCTGGTGGAAAAGCTTTCCAGTAATGACTTCAGCTGGACTGCTGTTGTCTCTGGAGCTCTTGCTTCTTTTGGAGAAACCATCGATCACTTGCACACCTCCAGGTACAAAGCAGAGCTAGCCCTAGCCCTCCCTCTTGTGCCCATACTGGTGGTATCGTCTTTGAGCTTTACAAAATGAAATGTAAGTTCATGGAGACGATGGTAAAATGTGAGCAGGGCTAGAATGAGAACTCAGGTATTGCTGAATTATACTGAATGCTGCCTCTGCCAAACCCTTCATTCATTCATTTTTCACTGTCACAAAACGTAACCACATTGTTCTGCACAGAACTGGCAAGAAAAACACATAGGGAAAATAGCTAAGAGTTTGGCATCAGAAATAGAATCCATATAATTGTGAAGCTTATTTGAGGTTTACGTTTTGGAAGAGTCGTCAGATTGTCTTTGTAGCTGTAAACAGGAAAGCTTGCAAGGTATCAAGGAAACAACTGTCCTGAGTTTATATTTGGAGTGTGACTACTCCCAGTAGAACTCCTGGTGCAAACAGATTGATGATTATGTAGGAAATAAATCTTTAAACCCAGAACATTTTACAGATGTTTAAGTAGGGACCCGATGTGCAGTGCTGTCGCAGGGCAGGAGGTGGCTGCTCAGTGCTCTCCCCAGTCTTTCTTCCATGAGCACCCAAAGGACAGCTTCTGCTGCCCTCTGAGCAGTGCTGCTGGCTTTCCCTAGATAAACGGGTGAGGGATTTTGAAGATATTTTAATTTCTCAGTCTAATTTGAATATTCAAGCATCACCAAAATAAAAATATATTAAAAAGACCTAAACTCTAACTAAAAAAAATTCTTTAAAATGTTTTCCATCAGGAGGTTCAGCAACATCTGATGACCATGAATTTGATCCATCAGCTGATATGCTGGTGCATGACTTTGATGATGAACGGACATTAGAAGAGGAGGAAATGATGGAAGGAGACAGAAACTTCAATTCTGAAATAGAGGATCTTAACAGGGTAGGTAGCATTAAGTAGTCATAGAACATAACTACAGCCCACAGTCTTAAGCAAAACACGTGCAGGTTTTTTTCCCTAATATTTGGGATTAAAACAAACCAAACCGCCCCTAACACACTAATAAGCAAATAACATAGATGGGGAAAAGGGGCTGAGCTAAATATGCAGTTCCCAAAAGTTGGGAGGAGGGAACTGCTACATAAATACTGAATAATGCATAATGCTGGGCTTGTTTAGTTCCTTCTTGCATATATGTGCTGGGATGTGATTTGCCTTTTAGAGCTAATAGGAGGCAAAGTGCGCTCCACCTAAACTTGTGTCTTCCAGTCGTGCTGTTTGCTAGAACACTTGCACTTGATCAGTGCATGTAGATTTTGATTTTATAAGATCTGGTAATTTTACATTCCTTTTGCCGTTCTATACAAACATTCATTCCTATAATCCTGCAGTGGGGAAGATAGGAGTACCTTCCTTTTTTAAGGTGGAGAAAACAAAGATGTAGATAAAGTGATTTGCTCAATGCAAAAAGTTGTCAGCAGGGCTCGGCGTGGAACTCCCACATACTGATAGTAGTGATAAACTCATTGTAAAATATGTGTCTTAAGAAATAATTGCCTGTGAGATTTATTTGGCGTTTTGAGGTTATGCTGTCACTTACGTACTGCTTTAAATTACTTCTTAGCCAGGAATCATGTTCTTAAACTACAATCCGGGTTCATTATCAATGCAAAGTAATGTAGATACTGTCTGTGACCTCCCTGGCTGAAAAGGCTGCTGGAATAGATCATTAATGGTTTTTAAATGCCTGTTTGATGTACAAATCCTGTTTAGCATAAGTGATCTTACCAGTATGGCATTAAATTAATAGGGTACGTTTATTCTGCATTTTGGATGTAAATGATGATTTATTTCTGGTGATTCCACATTTGATATTAAATGGTAAACATAAATAAATTGCATGCGAATTAAATATTTAGATTAAGTGGGAAATGGAGCTCCACGAGTATCATATTTTTAAGTTCAAAATGTGTGTTTTTCTTCATAAGTTGTGAGGAGCCAACATCTGGCTGTGTAATCCTACCACCACATCACACTGCTTTGCTTGTAAGCATACGTCAGCAATCAGAGCATTCCCTCATGTCCTGGCTGTGCACTGCAGGCTTCTGGTTTCTGCACATCTGTGACAGGACAGCGACTGGTGTTGTAACTGAGCTCCTGTGCTGCTCATCTCTGGAGGACACCATCCCAGGCCAGCACAGTGACATCAGCCATTTGTGGGGATGTTGAAAGTAAAGCTTCTACTGCCTTTCAGATGCTTTCACTCCAGCAGGATTTCTTCTTGTGGGATGGCAGGCCGCGCATCAAAGCTCGCTTCTCTCTCCTCTCTTGTCCTTCTCTTTTCATGCTTTTTCTTGAACGTGGATGATAGACAGCCTAAGTCTCAACATACTGGCAAAACAAGTGCTATCCTGTCTTTTCCTTTCCCCAGACACTTACATGTATTACTTCAGATTTCCCCAGGCTGTGAATGTGCCAGATTTCCTTGCTCAGCTCCTTCGGAGGTGAGATGGCAGTCCAGTTGCACAGAAGCACCTCACTGGTTTAACCAGAAAACTACACATTCCTTGGAGGATAAGAATCTTTTCTACTCACTGTTTGAAGCTCCATAATCCTGCTTTGTCCATAGGAACAGCCATAGCAGATCTGTCCAGAGTCCTGCTTGCACTGTCCTGGCAGCAGTGCATGGCCAGGCCCCAGCATGCTGCAGAGAGGCACTTTTCTCCTCTCCCTCTGGATCCCACTTCTCAGGAGGGCTTCTGGGTTTCTCTAATGTTGTACAACAGCATTCTGGTCTCTTTAAATGAGGGACCCATATGTGGAGGCATACAGTGTTTCTCCCAGATATTCTCCCAGCCTCTAGCAGGGTACAGCTCAAGCATGTAGAGAACAGATGGTGTCTCCCTGTAATGCCTCTGTTTTTTTCCCCTTCCATGGATTTGTCCATTTGATTTCTAACCTCTGTATACTTTGTGTCCATGAGGCATGTGGCAGTGTTGCATAGTTCATTTGGTGTGAGATATATGTTTGGTTTTTACCAAGTGTGTTTTGTGTTCGTTTCAGTTGTTGCCCCTGAGCTCTTCATTTAGAAGAGTGTAGTTGTTTCTCTTGCTCTTCTCTGTGCTCCTCCTTATGATGCAGTTCTCTGTTACACCACTCCTCCTCACCTACCTCTACTCCAGATACATGATTTATAACCCATTTCTCATTACTAAACATCTCCCACATGAGAAATTTCTATGCCATTGATCATCCATGTTATTTTTTTATCTCTGTTTCTGCTGTGTCCCAAAACAACACAGAACTCACAACTGTGGTACCAAAAGTGTTGCATCTTTGAGAGTTGCTGACACTCAGAGCTTTTTGGACTGTCAAGGACTATGTCAGGGCTCTACCTAGGATTCTAAATACAGCACGACTTTCCTCTAACATGGAGTAATTCACCAGTTGCATAAATCACACCTATCTACAACCCATAGTAAAGTTATTTCTAGTTCTGGATCTGTACTTTCAAACAGGATGATGATGATGAAAGTTTTGCCCTCAAAAATGCACTGGAGGACATAAGTTTGGATTTCTATGACAGCTGTACTGTAAGGCTTTAATTATGTCGCAGTCCTGTCATGTTGTCCACATGTGTAAAACGAATTCCTCACTTCTGAGAGTTCACTGCATAAAATACAAGAAATTATGAGGGAGAATGAGGAGATCAAGTGCCACATGCTCCATGTCTGTGTATATAGCTGAACTGAAGACTGGGCCAGTAAGTGGCTGAAAGGCTTAGTACTTTAAAGTAACACAAAATACGTAGACAAGGAGTGCAGGTAACCCCTGCGTACCGCTGTTTTTGCACAGCAGAACTAACTACTACTATTTGCCTTTTGTAAAAGGTACTGATGTGTAGATGAATTAAGCTCTTAGGAGAGGAGTTCAATGGCAGAAGTGTGGGGCCAGCAGTAAACTAATAATCTGATCATCAGCCAAGGCTTGCATTACATCCTGAGAAATGGCGTTTGGAGCAGCTGTACGCACCTCTGAATGGTGAACAAGGGATTTGATCTCGTGAGAGAGGTGATTTTTAAATGCTCTTAGAAAATCCTCTAGGGATGCCATATCCTGCCCCTAAAGGAAGGATCCTGAGGTATTGAAAGTACTGAAGTAACTCATTTACGGACCTGGCAATTAATAATTTGTGTTAATAAAATGGATGCAATCAATAACAGTTTGGGAGCCACTAAACTTGAGGTCTGTCAGTATCTTCTAAAGTATCTCTTCAGAACAGGCCAGAATTCTACACATAAAGATTTTTAAACGACTGCATATTTCAGTAGATTTTCTTCCCAAGTATGTTTGCTTTTGTAGACAACAACGTTAAACACTTTTTGATTTTAAATGAGGAAATATGTATGTATCTGTGAGCAGTGCTGTCTTCGCCTGGATGTCAGCTGACCCTGAAGATAAAGTCATCCATTACCCCCATCCAACCCCTCAATTTCATTTTGTATTTCTCCTTTGGGGAGAGATACAGTGATGGTGAGGTGCATTTTTTGTGTTATTTTGTGTAAGCTGAGGTTGTAAGGCTGTGTGGCACTGTTCCTATAGAACAGTTCCCCAGACAACTCCATGTTCAAGCCCTGCACTGCAAGTTCTGCCGACTCACATTTTCTCTATTTTTTCTTTTTTAATAAATAAGCACAAAATACTATACATTTTTTCAGTAGTTTTTGGGCAGCAAATGCAATATTTATATCAATTTATACTCCAGTTTGCTCTGTATATGTACTGAAAAGTTTGTGATGTGTAGACCACGGGTCATACTTGACAGCCAGAATAATGCATCCAAATAATCTTGGAGGTGTTCAAGACCAGGTTGGATGGGGCCCTGGGCAGCCTGGTCTAGTAGCAGATTTGGGGGTTGGTGGCCCTGCCTGTGGCAGGGTGTCAGAACTCGATGATCCTTGGGGTCGTTTCCAACCCAAGCCATTCGATGATTCTGTGCATCTCTGCCACACTGTCTCAAGGTCATCTTAGAGCAGGCTGCAGGCTGCATGATTGCCAGAACACACAACACACGTGGGTGCCCTGTTGCATGGCTGGTTAGAAATCAGATTCCTCCTAGGAGCCAGAGGCAAGCTTCATCTGATGCTGGAATGGGTGACACCCACATTTCGGTCCCGTGATAAATGCGTGCCTTGTCATTTCATAGGCATGGATTCATCCCAGGATCGTAGCTACGTAACCAGATGTAACTGCCTTGTGACAGTGCTTGTGTTTTGGTCAGATAGTAGGCAAACACCAAGAAGGGCAATGGGCTGTACAGCCCCCTGGTGCCTTTTTAATGAACTTTGTGGCCCCGCTGAGAGTTTGTGATGCCAGAGTTCCACTGTAAGCTTATAAAGGATTAGGAAATAAAATATTCTGTTGCGTAGAAGGCCACGCGTTTTTCCTAGGAGCCAAAGCTTCTGACTGTCTATTCATTTTAGAGAAGCTATTCTTAGTATACCTGGTCATCAATTATCTGTTTTTGTCATGTTTAAAAAGCACACCTTTAAGCTGTAGAGCAGATGTGGGATGTGAAGTATTTTGGTTAAATCTCCAACTTTGTTTGGATGTTTATCAGGAAAGCGATATGCCAATCCAGGAGCTGCTTAGCCTTTATGGCTATGATGGCACCATTCCACTCCAAGAAGATGATGATGATGAAGATGAGGAAGAGGAAGAGGAGGAGGGAGAAGATGATGATGATGTTGATAACGATGACAACAGTGGCTGCAGTGGTGAAAACAAAGTAAGTATTCATGCCAGTTTACAACTGATTTTCATACAGCTGTTCTTATGTAGACAAGCATTCAAAGTGCCAGATCACAGCGGAAGTAAATCATCATACAGCTGATTTCAGATGCTCTATGTACTGAAGTCTAACAGTTATTTTTAATTACCCTTCTATATTTCTCTTAATTACTCTGCATTTAATCTGCATCATGCCAAACTCCTGCTGAGGCAAATTAGAGTGCATGTATACACACAGCATCATGTCAGAAGGGATTATGCTGTCCTTCAGAAATACTGTCTGGTTTAAAAACTGGAATTTTAAATGCCTGAAGGTCCCTTTGTGGATGTGGCTGAATGCTTGTTTCAAGATGAAAGCTGATCTACCGAAACTGAGCAGTGCAGTGTGGAGTTGCTGTAACCTCCAATGCTCACAGATGCATCTTTAAATTCAAGTCTTCTAACTTCAGCTTTTTAAATTATTTTTTTTTCAGCCTGGCAGTAATTAGCCTGCTTGCATTTAAATTGTTAATTAAATCTAATGCTTCAAATACCTTCACGGAATGTAAAGTTATGAACTTAGAGTCTTTAGAATCCTGTCCTGTGTGCTCTTAAAACAAATTATCTGATTATAGAAGGGTCTTTTCTACTTATGTATGTCATATGTATTTGTACTAATCCCATCTTGTCATGGGTACAGCTATAGCTTCTCCGTTACTGGTGCTGCTCAGAGTTGCTTCCTGAATACCATTAAAATACGGAAACCTTTGTACTGTCAGTAACAACAAAAAAAAAACCCATAGGCATTAATGGAAGTCGAATTACCTAATCTGGATTTAGAACGAATGCATTTTCTTCTTTGACATTTACCCATTTCAGAATGTCTGGAATGAGAGAGAAAGGTGAGGAATGACATGCTCGATTCCAAAAGGGCTGTAAAATACTGTTTGCATGTTTGCTGAATAGTTCAAAAAGAAGAAAATTACATAGTTGTATTGCATTAGAAGGGCTTCAAGAAGCTAGAGATGGGGAGAAACTTACATAACAGGAATATGCAAAATTAAAGTAAGACACAAAAGCGTTTGATTTTGTTGTGCACAGCAGTGTTCACAAAGTCCCACTTCCTTCTTATGCCTTTGCTTCTTAATTACTTCCTGACAAAACTGCCATTTTCTGTGTTTTCCCAGCCTCCTCTGTAGTTCTCCAGTTCTGTTACTAGTTGGTTTAAGGTACCACCCGTCTTTTCTCTGAAGTTCATGGCTTCCCTGTGTCTGTCATTGCTAAGATGTTAGGGGGACTCTTTGCAGTATGCTGCAGAAGAGCACACATTCATGCAGCAGCAGAGCAGGTGGGGTAAGCAGAGCCCTGCCAGCAGCTCGGCCTGATCGCAGCTGTGTGCCTGCATTTGGACAGCAAGTCTGTGTTGAGTTGCTCAGCCCCAGCTTGAGTAGGGATGGAACAAAGGTGATAAGGAGGATTGGGCACAAAGAGCACTGGCCAGCCTGTCAGGGTGTTGTGCCTTGGGCTGCAAGAATGAGTGCTCTAGAATTACTCATATGCTTTTAGCAGAGAGGCAGTAAAATACATCTGTGGGGGTGGAATCGTTTTATAAATCATTCAGGCTTTCTCTGTGAGTGCACATCTTTCTACAGCTTGTTTAGCTATACTGCACTTAGCTGTTTTCTATTTTTAAGCTGATTTAAGCTGCACATGTGATTACACTGTGATGCTGTTAAAGGTACACGTAAACATGTGTCGTGCCCTATGCCTGTGTCAGAGCTAGCAAGCAGGAGTGCTTTCAACAGTCATAAAACCCAGACACAATCCGGACAACACACACCATAGAAATCTAATGTATTTTTTAACCATTATCATCTTATTCTTCACTAATTACAATAATTGCCATTGTTGTTGTGACTTCTTTTCTAATAAAGAAACTGGTTCTTGTTTTTTGACCTTTTGGTGGCTGGATGTACAAACACACAGCATGTCGAGCTGACCGATTCCTGTTCGGTAGAACCACACTGTTGACATTTATTTTTGTGGAACGTACAGTTTCTATTTGACTGAGAAAAGTATCTTTGTAATGCTCTTTGTACTGAAAAATTGCAAGGAAGGCCTTTGAAGACTGAAGTAAAATGTGAAGTTAAATGAAATTAGATGAAAACCACAAGGATCTGCTTGACTCATTGTAAAGCTAGACATAGTAGTCAGCTATGCTTCATGTTTCTGATCTGTGTGTTAGAATTCGAGTGCTAAATCTGATCTGCTTAAAGTCGTGGTCAATAAAGAACACAATGTGCTTACGTCTTTGTTATGGCTCGGTGTGGACAGACCACACCCTGTACAACAGCCACTTGAAGTCAGATGGATATTTGGTTTGATAAGTGGACAATTTTGGAAAAAATATTGCCAAATAATGTTTCTCACACACAAAGTATAGCTAACCTCTTCTTTGTTTCTTTATATTTCAGGAGGAGACCATAAAGGATTCATCAGGTCAGGAAGATGAGACACAGTCATCTAATGATGACCCAGCACCATCAGTTGCTTCTCAAGATCCACAGGAGTTGATTCGCCCTCGTCGATGTAAATATTTCGATACAAGTACGTACAGCTTAGCACTAAGCACAGCTATCTCAAAATGATTGATTTTTTGCTTACAGACTGCTTAGTAAGTTAACCAGCATTCTGGTTCTAAAGTATGCATCCAGATACCTACGGATGTGTGTTTGTTCTCTTAGCACTGGTTTTGATTACCATTACACTCAGTGGGCAACCAGAAATTCTTATTGTTAGCTGAACACTGCAGCTTCTACCCAGATAAGGTGTTCTCTGTAAGAGCAGATACTCTCTTCTTAAAGGATTAATTTGTGGAAAAATGTTTTGAAAAACCTTCTCAAACAGCGTAACTCCTTTTGTTCCATGACACTCACATACTGGCTTGTACAGGTGTGCCCTTCAGGAAAAGATCCTTACATGCAGAATCCAGGTGCAGTAAACTGCTTCGGAGACTGATTTGTACAGTGAGGAATGTGGTCTAACAAATACTTCTCTATGGAATCCATAGCCTGTATGCTGCTATGCTGTGTGATGGCAGCATTCAGCAGGGAATCAGCAGCACCTGCCTGTTCTGTGTGGTATTACCTTCATGTTGGAGCTCTGGCTGCCTGCTCTTGCTCAGGACTGCATTATTTTAATCCAAAACCATCAAGGAACCTCAGCATGTAGCTATGCAGAGGGTTGCAAATATCTTAAATGAGCTCTTATTTTTAGACTTTAGGATGACACACATGTATTGCACTAGCTTTGGAGTTTTTACAGCGTTCAGCTATATGTAAAATATAATTTGATGTCTAAATCATTTTAGTGCTAATGTTCTCACTTGCTGTATATGGAATAGGTATTGTGGTTGCTTTTGCTTCATTGTGAATGGCACCTACCCCATATCATAGGGCCTAAAATTGTTGTCAGCCCTTATCCTAAGTAATTAGATTGAAGAACTGCTTTACATCTCTGAGCAGAACATCCAAGCCTACTAAATCCCAGTGAAGCTGACAGAAGCATGCTTGTGAATTTCTTGTGTGTTATGCTGTAGTTTACCTTAAATTCAGTGGCAGCTGCTGTAAGGGAGAGAGTATGGCAGCAACAAAGCAGGGAGCTCATCAAAAATGGGGTTGAAATCCACATGTGGATGCTGAATGTGCATGCAAGAATACTTTCAGGATGTAACTGTGTGTAGTAAATGTGGATCATCTCAACTGCTTTGCAGCTGAGTGAGGGAAAACAGACTGTTATTAGGAAGGACTGAAACTGATGGATGTATTCACTTGTGCCTTGACTTTTCATAGCCTGCTGTGTATATCTCAAGCCGTTCTAAACACATACATTGGGTGGGTCATTTTTAAGGCAGTCACTGCTGGAGCATTTAGCAGTGCCAGCCGGCCTGCCTTCCGTGCTTCTGTGGCGTGAGATAAGGTGGCAGGGAGGCAGAGTGGGGCTGCAGCACTGCCTGTGTCCACCCCTCACCCCACGGCACTCCTGATGGCTGGCTGCAGCCTCAGCACTGCCCCAGCATGGCTGCGTGTACATGTTGGCTCATTTCTCCTAGACAGCGAAATAGAAGAGGAGTCTGAAGAAGATGAAGATTATATTCCCTCAGAGGACTGGAAAAAGGTAAATATTAAGGTCGGTTATCAAACTCGATGTTCTGTGAATAATGAGCTGAGCTGCTACCTAGTAACTATAGATCTCATAACTCTTCTTTTTTTTTCCTCAACAAATATGATTGTTTTTGTAGTAATAATATTAAAGTCCTCCCCAGAAAATGAAAAATGCATTTATCTGTAATCTGCTTATTTACAGATTTGTTTTAGATTTTGAGCAATGAAAGCTTTAAAAGAGAAAGGATCATACAGACATATTTTCACTTGCTAACAAAAAACTGCAAGGCTGTGGTTGCTTAACTTTTTGTGTCTGTTATTTCAAAACAGGAAATCATGGTGGGCTCTATGTTTCAAGCTGAAATTCCAGCTGGCATATGCAGATACAAAGAGAATGAAAAAGGTGAGACTCAACAATGTTACTACTGTCACTGTGTGTCAGCTCATTTTCTAGTGGGAAAAAATAACAGATATGTTGGACTCACATCACATGTCTTGTGGAATGTAACAGCTCTTTCAAATGAAGAATAGAACCATCATCTCAAACTGTAGCTCATCGTATACTTCAACACCAGAGCTTGAGACTTGGAAGGGGAAAAGAAAGGTGATATTGCTGTCCTATTGAGTCCTTGCATTCTAATCAAGCTTTGTTGACCCAAGCTTTTTGTGTCAGTTATGTTAACCTCTTTGCCTGGTTTGTTCTGTTTATGTGAAATGGATAGTGAAGAAATTATGCTGCTGGATTAACCTGTTAAAGAGGTGAAATGTCACCAGCAGCTTTGTTTTCACATCTTACAACTCTTCAATCAGCATTAAAGAACTTCTTGTTCTACTATTTGAGTGTTTTCCAGGAGCTCTTTTCCTCTTACAAGCAGAGCCTTTGGCTGTATGCTGTCAATACAATGAAACAAGGAAAAGCAGACACACATAAACCCAGCCTGAGCTTAAAAGCAGGAATTTCCCTGCTTGCTCAACCTATTACCAAGAATTTGTTCATGCTGCAGGTTGGTTTGAGACTGCAGCTTTTATGTGTTTGTTTTAAACTAACCAGCAGAAATGTCAGTGCAGCCTCAGAAGCTGAGAGCATACACAACTGGTGACAGTCTTGCTCCACGTGCCAGGTTGCTGTAGGTGTGCTGCAGCCAGAAAATGGAAACGTGGTCACTCCTGGTCTTGGCCAAGAACAGGCCAACACTGAGGCTGACCCAGCTCTGGGCTTGGTAGCCAGAGAAACTGAAAAGAATGTAATTTAAAACCAAGCGAGAAGTCCGGAGCTTCCATGAAAATGGGAAAACTGTAAATGAGAAAATACAAATACATTAAACACAACTTTTTAGCTGTGAGGAAGTTGCTCCTTGCGTGCTTTCCTGCTACTGTCTAAAAATAGAGTTGGAGTTACGTATTTACCTGGGATGTGACAAATTATGCTTTATGGATTGGTCACCTGCTCTCTCTCGTGTTTACTCAGCTCTGAATGGCTTCTGGCCTCCAGCAATAAAAAAAAGAGCTATTTTATGCATTGCACTAACCTACGTAAAACAGTTTCTTATAGCCTTGCACACGGCTCTGTGCAGGATGCAGAACCTGTGTCATGGGCTAAAACTGTTAAGGAGGAAAGTTAAATTTTCACCAGTGTTCTGGGGTTGTTGTAGTTCCGTGTACCAGCAAGAAGTTATCTGTAGCCACTTCTTTTCTTTTTCTGTGTTTAAATCTTTTTGCCAGGATTCCAGCTGGAATATGAATGTAACTTAGTTAAAGAGTTGAAAAATAAATATCTGGGGCTATATGTTGAGTAATTTCATGCACATATTCCATCTTCTTTCTCGTTCTTTAAGAAGTCTAGTCCTCTTGGATCTCCCCTATAAACAAATGCACAGAAATCCTAGCTCTTAAGATGAACCATCTTGCTTTTTGACTGCTCTGACATGCTCTTCTGAGGAAGGATGAGCTGAGTGTGCTGCATGAAGCTAATGGCTCTGTACTGTACCTGGAGGACTAGCAGCTGCTCTTAGAGGATTTCAACCAACAGAATTCAAAGATGTGCTTTCAGAAGGCTTTGTTTCTCTTCTGAAATAGTTTACTTTGCTGCCATCAGCAAAACTGCGCTGCTTAAATAGAAGAAGGGTAGGGTGGGGAGTTGTGGGCTCTGGTTCTGCTGCCTTGTGATTAAGTAGTGTCTGTCAGGAGGACACACAGGTGGAATTGGTGGAGTTTCATGTATGAGTCTTAGAATCCAGAGCAGAAATTGAAAGACAGTGTAAGGTGTAGTGTGTTACTCACAGAATCACGTTTGTGAGCTGATCTTTCACCTGCCCTGATGTATGGATTGATGCTGATGCTCTGAGGTTCCATCAGTGATAGTTTTACAGGAGAGAATAAGCTTTATATTGCTGTTTCAGCTTGCTTCTCTTTTTCCTCTGCTTACTTCAGTGTACGAGAACGACGACCAGCTGTTGTGGAATCCTGATGTCTTACCAGAAGATAAAGTGATTGAGTTCCTAAACGAGGCATCACGGCGCACAGGTGATGAGAAGGGCCTGGATGCCATTCCTGAGGGATCTCATATTAAGGACAATGAGCAGGTATATAACAAGAGGTGGCATTTTTAGTTTAGTATTACAGAATGAATTATCTCTGTATTTTATTTTCATCCCAACAATTAAAATTGAGCTTGAAACGGCTTATTTGTTCCTTTTGGAAATACAAATATGAAGGTGTTTTTTCTTCACAACAAATTTTGAATCTCTGACTTTGACTTAACCTTGCTTTAGGCATCAGCACATAGTTTTAAGTGTAAGTAATTGTGCATAAGTGAGTTCTTTCAATTACAGTTTTTCTGAAGCTTCATGAATTTTCTTTAAAAAAAAAAATTTTAAAAATGTATGCAGTGGGTAAAAATGGGTTGAAATATTTCACTTGAGTATATGCTTGGTTGTGTAATTAAGAGCTATGGAAATTTAACCAGGAAATAGTCATTGTGCTGTCTTAAATTGCAAACGGTCCTTCAAAAAGTTTATTCTTCACCTTTTCTGAAATAAGTCTCAATGATTTATGAAAGATGTTTCTGTGGCACAGCACGAAATCAGTGTTATTTAGAATATTAAATGTATGTCTTTTTGTCTTTGCAGGCGTTGTATGAACTGGTTAAGTGCAATTTTGATACTGAGGAATCTTTACGAAGGCTGAGGTTTAATGTGAAGGCAGCCAGAGGTGAGCACACAAACTGCTCGAGCTCTTACAGTGTTACCTCTCCTTTTGCTGTGTGGTACTGCACACACAGCTGTCCTGTTACAGTGTGACTTGTGCAAGCATGATGCATCAGTGTTCATGTCTGTGAATCTGTTCTCTAAGAGAAGGAAATTAGCAGCTGTAGTATAACCAAGTACATCCTTAAAGAGAGCAAGTAAATTAGCTGTTAATTAAGCTTGATATTTGTATTTGTCACTTTAAAAACGAGTTAAAATTTAAAATGACTTCTTAGCAACTGCACTGTGCATTTCTTCAGCATTCTGTTCTTTGTTCATAGACCTCTACAGTCATTAAAGTCAATGGAACAAACATGAATAAAATCACATAACTCATAGTTCTAGCTAAAGGAGAACGGGTGTCTACACCTTTTATTGAGAAAGTATGCCACTAAGAAGACCTCAGTCATGAAGTTCTCTTTGGAGACCGAAGCGTTTGCTGTTTTATTATTGGTCTTTGTACTCATTACAGCAATAGCTTCTTCCAAGTAGCAGGGACTGTCCCAGGTCTGTAGGCAGTGCACTTCTGTGTGCTGTGCTCCCTGCAGTCCTGGGTGCTGTGTGAGGGCAGCAGCTGTCTGAGCCCTCCTCCCTGCCTGCTCACTGTCCCCAGCTGGCAGGGCTGCTGGCTGGTGATGGCCCTGCCAACATGCTGCTTCAGCCAGCCAGCATTTCCCAGCTCCCAACTAGAAGGGAGAATCTTCCTTTTTTGTAGTGGTAAGCTAGATTTTTGGAGGTGGTTCTCATTAGTTTGCAGATGGTGTAATAAACTTGTATGCCACGTGTGTTTTCTGTCGCTTAAGTTTTCTGTTATTGACTGTATGCTTTTATGTTAAGCGTTTTCATTATTGCATTTCCTTGCTTTAGAAGAATTATCTGTTTGGACAGAAGAAGAATGTAGGAACTTTGAACAAGGGCTGAAAGTCTATGGCAAGGATTTTCATGTCATTCAGGCAAATAAGGTATGTGCTGATTTTAAATGTTGTTCTTGCTTTTTCTTCTGGCGCATGGAGTCATCAAAATGTTCACAGCACCTCTTTCCTAGGTACGAACAAGATCAGTTGGTGAGTGCGTAGCATTTTATTACATGTGGAAGAAATCAGAGCGCTATGATTTCTTTGCACAACAGACGAGATTTGGAAAGAAGAAATACAATCTTCATCCCGGCGTAACGTAAGATGTGCATCATTCTGTGCTTTCACGTGCTGGATCTAAACTGTTCTTTTGTACTGCTCTGACTCTGAGATGGAGGGACAGACTGGTGACGCCACAGTCCCAGGTTGCAGTGGGAAAAAAGCCAAAGAAAAGCATACCAGTGTGTATCGTGTAATTCCCAAAATACATTTGTTGGGAGTTAGGCCAGCAGTTTGCATTGAACAGCTCTTTCATGGAATGTGTTTTTTGGTTCAGTGTTTCACAAATGTAACATTTCTGCAAATAGGGATCACAGAATGGCCTGGGTTAAAAAGGACCACAATGATCACGTAGTTTCAACCCCCCTGCTATGTGCAGGGTTGGCAACCACCAGACCAGGCTGCCCAGAGCCACATCCAGCCTGGCCTTGAATGCCTCCAGGGACGGGGTATCCACATTTTCGTGAGAGAATGTGTCGTTTTGCTTTAAATACATGTTTTGCGCTAAGGCATTAGTCACAAATTTCAGATGGGATTTTTGAAGTATATTGTTTGGCCAAAACCATACCCTGTCATAGGGCTTTTTTCACTGTGCATCCCCCCAGCTTTCTTACAGTTATCTATTCTTCCTGCTTATTAATACCAGTGTTTCTGTGAACATTGTAGAGCTACGTGCTGGACCACCAAAGTGAAACTGCAGTACATTCTCTGATTATTCTGTTAGGGAAGGGTGCCTTCCTTCCTTCCTTGTCGCTCACGCACCCAACACAGTAAATTTTTTTGCACATGCTGAATTTGCTTTCTCTCTTCTGTAGAGATTACATGGACCGCCTCCTAGATGAAAGTGAAAGTGCAGCCTCCAGCAGAGCTCCGTCCCCTCCGCCCACAGCCTCCAACAGCAGCACCAGCCAGTCTGAGCGAGAGGACAGCACCACCAGCAACAGCAACCAGAATGGTGAGTGCCCACAGCAGAGCTGCAGAGCTCACATACTGGGATAAGTGATCATTGCTGCCTTGGGGAGGAGTTCCATGCAGGAAATTCAAAGCACAGTGCTTGCCCCATGAACACAGTTTGGTGTAGGGCAGCAAAGGGAGGTAGGAGTGGGAAAAGGGTCAGGGCATCATCACTTATTGGGGAGAAGAACCTTAAAAGTGAGGGTCAGGTGCTTTGAAGGATTCGGGGTAAAAGCTGTTGCAAGGAAGGAGGTCAGTGTTGAACGGGGCTGGAAGACTGGAAACTCCAGTACCTGCATAGATGGGGACAATTCACCTGCAGCTGTAGCGGGGGTGGCTTCTGGGATGTGGCTTTGGCTGCTGTTGCTTCTAAGGGCAGAGGACATGAACCCAGTATTGACCTTTGTGTTCTGTGAGCTTCTGCTTTATTGTTCTATGCATTTATTCTGCTGCTGCTGCTTCTGTTCTTATTTCTTACGGTGTGTCTCTACCACAGGGCTGTCTGCTAATGGGCCGGGAGAGATACCAAGTAAGGATGAAGCAAAACCAGAAGGACTGCACGTCAACGGACCTACTGGTGGCAAGAAAACCCCTCACACAGACCTGGATACAAATGGGTATGAAACTGAAAGTCTTTCCCTTGACCCCAAAGTTGCTCATTCAACTTCAAAAAGTGAAAATGATTTTGAAGAAAAAAATGAAAGACCTCTAAAGAGAAGAAGAATTAATAGCAATGGTAAAGAGAGCCCTGGTTCGTCAGAGTTCTTCCAAGAAGCAAACTCCCATGGGAAGCTGGAAGAGCTGGAAACATTGGATGACTGAATAATAGGAGCAGATTTTATTCCTTGGAGTAAATCTTGGGTGTCTAAAATTTTCAGGGTTGATGGGTTACCTTGCAGAATCCAGTTCCATAAAAAACACTGCTGAGATTTTTCTAATAGCTTCTGGTCAGCTCCGCAGATCTGCTTCTTTGGTTGCGTCAGTGCTGAAAAGCAGCAGCAGAATATTCTGTTCCTGAGGTGCCAGCTGCAGCTCTGGGAACACGGAGGCACTTAGGAGCATTTGAGAAACAGATCAGTGATTTTCTGTAAAAATGCTTCCAGCCAGCAGGAAATTGGGTGTAAGTTGATCTGAGCATTGCACAGGTGAACAAAGCAGGGGCTGGTTACAATTTCTGATCGTTGGGGGAAGTTAAAACGAATCCCAAATCCCAAGACATGCACAGAGTAGGCACAGAGACTCCTAACAGAGAGCAGCACGTGTCACCTGGCTGGTAAGGAACCCGCATGAATCCTGAAAGTTACGAGCACAACTATTTTTATATATAGAAGTTTTAAAAGGTAAATAAACCAGGTCAGGTTTGTCTATGTAAAATTGTTGACATCAATGATGTCTTTCCATATTCTTATCTGGGCTAAAGAAATACATTCTGTATTTTTCCAGATTTCTTTGTAGCCTTTGAAAGATTTTTACAGTACTTAACGTCTTGATCAAACTGTCCTTTCTTAAAACAAAAGCTTGTATAATTTTCTTAGCTTGTACAGTTGGTAAACTTTTATGAGAGAATTGATATCCTGAGTCTGATGTCAGCTTCATTTTATTTTGCTGAAGTCTTTTCTAAGAAAAAGAAAAAAAAAAAAGCAACCACAAAAAAAAAAAAGAAGCCAAACCAAACCAACTGACCTAGAAAAAAACGCTTCTCAGGCACCAACGTGGTGTTGTCTTCTCTAAAGCAGTAAGTCACAAACATCAAGAATGGTTAGAAGTCATTTGATTTTAAAAACATGCTTTTTCTTACTTGTTTTGTGACAGCAATGCAAAAGATTTGTTAGGCACAGCGCTCGCCTTGCACAAGTTCTTTTGCTTTCCTTATACATTTTCTCCTTTTATTTTGAGCTCGGATGAATTTCGTGTCAGCCACATGCTGCAGTTTGCCACACCGTGGTCACTGAGATCAGCTGTGAGATTTTCACCTCCGCGTCAGAGGAGAGAAGGGGATGGGTGAGGTGGTGCCAGCAGTGGGGCAGCTGCCTCCAGCCACTGCAGACCCCACAGGGGTGGATGTTTCAGAGGAAGCAGCACTGCCATGTATAAATGCATGGCACAGAACATATGCAGCTGTACAGCTGGTGTGCAGCACATCACCTGCTGAAGGAGGGAACTGGCACAGAGAACTCTGTGCTAGGAGCTCTATCACTGCACGTGGCATGGGGTGATACTCACCTTCCCACTGGCCCCAGCTTAAGGTTGTTGATGTAGGGTTACATCCATAACATAGAAATATCCTTAATATCAGTGTTTGTTTCTCTTAAAACAAAGGAACAAAAACCTCAAGTTCTGGTTTGTTTGTTGTTGTTTTTTTTAAGCTGCAGCTACACATCCTGCTGTATTAAAAATAGGAAAAAGTGTTTGTATAATTCATAATCTTGTCTCCTCCTGCACTTGTTTTCACTAAGACGATCTTGTAAGTTTATGAGGTTTCACAATATCAGCTTTAAACGTGTGGTCCTACGGTTGGAAAAGCACCTGCACAGGGCTGTGCTCCTCAGCCACGTGCACTCAGACTGCACAGTGAGGGAGGAGCTGCAGCTCTGGGTGCAGCCCAGCTCTGCCAACACAAGGAAGCACAGTGCTGTAAGCTGCTGTGATGTAGAGCAGACACCCACCTGGGATTAGGCAGCAGTTGTGGGAGGCACACAGGTGGGGGGATGGCTCCTGCACATCCCACAGCAGGGCTGGGCTTCCAAAGAGGTTGCTGTTGGTTTGGCAATCTCTTTCAGTAACAGAAACCCAAAGTGTTGCAGCCTTCCCATGGAGATGGGCTTTAGGTGGTTGCAGTCTCATCTTTCCCCTTACAGCCCTATTTTCTATTTTATGGTTACACATTTTTGTTTGCGAGTTGGAAATACTTCCAAAAATTTATAGGAAAGTTTATAAGTAAGTTTATAAGTACATTAATTGTCTCAGGCTTGTGTGTGAAATACAGCACCGTGTATATTTTCAGGAACATTGCTTTGTTTTTCCTTACCTTTTTCTGGTGATAATAGAAGAGACATTCCATAATCAACAAGTACGTAATGCTCAGCTAGACTTTAAGAATATTTAATTGTAATTTACGTTTTGTTCATGCTGGCGTTTTATATGCAATACTTGTTCACGTTCTTCAACCTGCAGCCACTGTCACTTGATAAGTCATTGCACTACTAAGGCTATTTAAATTAATTCTAGACATTTAGCAACTGGTTTTATTTAGAAAGCATTCAGTACAAGTGGAGCCCAGGAGGTGTTGAACTCGGTTCCAAGCTGCATGGGACAGAGCACAGATCACAGCACGCCATGCAGGTCGGGGCTCCACGCAGCCTGAGCTGCAGCCACTCCAACTGAACGGAGCTCCGTGGGGCACCTGAAGGGTGGAAGCGGTGTCAAAGACAAAGGACACAGCCACGCAGACTTCACAATTAGTTTTTATACGTTTTGTCACACATAGTAATTTTGCACTGTTAGTACTTCCCCTCGTCTTAACCCTGTTCCCTGTCTGCAATTCTAAGAAAGCTTATTAAAATATTTTTGTAAACATACTGTCTGCATCCCCAATTCCTGCGCGGTGCCATCAGAGCTGTGGTGGGCAGAGCCTTCCTGTAGCACACTGGGACATGACTTATCATAGAATCACAGAATGCCCTGAGTTGCAAAGGAGCACAAAGCTCATCCAGTCCCAACCCCCTGCTGTGTGCAGGTCGCCAACCAGCAGCCCAGGCTGCCCAGAGCCACATCCAGCCTGGCCTTGGATGCCTGCAGGGATGGGGCATCCACAGCCTCCTTGGGCAACCTGTTCCAGTGCCTTACCACCTTCTGGGTGAAAAACTTCCTCCTCATATCCAACCTAAACCTCCCCTGTCTGTTTAAAACCATTCCCACTTGTCCTATCACCATCCACCCTCGTAAGCAGCCGTTCCCCTCCTGTTTATACGCTCCCTTCAAGTATCGGAAGGCCCCAATAAGAGCCTTCCCTTCTCCAAGCTACACAAACCCAGTTCCCTCAACCTTTTTCCAAAGAGGTGTTCCAGCTCTCTCCAGCCCTCCTGCTGGGGAGAAGCCTGCACAGCCCACAAAGCACACAAGAGGCAGGAGGACGTTCACTGCTTTATTGGAAGCCAGTACAAAAATACTGAGGCACATGAAATCCTTTTATTTTTCCCCCTATTGTTACTGACCTACACAGCCCGCCATACATTCAAATAAGGTCATCTTTTAATCACTAAATTGGTCATTTTGTAAATAGATTCTGTATAGAAAAACATTTTAGTAGATTAATAGCATAGAAAATACTGTGGTAGGAACTCTGCTTTCCCAGTGTATGCAATTCCATCTGGACCTGGCACCCAAGTGTGCACATTTACAAACAAAATAAGCTTTTAAAAAATATTTCAACTGTTTGGACAAGAAATCTAACCAGTAGATTCGACAATAAACAAGAAAAGCTCTCACCAGAACAGACATCCTGACTGCAAATGCCTCAGCACAGCAACATTACAAATGCAGGTGGAGGACAGGGACTTGCAGGGACTGAGGATCTGTCCCAGTGCTCAGTTCTGCCCAGAGCTGCGTCCTCATCACCCTGCAGAGAGCAAAGCCCTGCAGCTGCTGCAAAGCCTGAGCCTTCATCCATGCAGGGCTCTGCTCTGGAGCTGCTGTTATCCTGTCCCAGCCAGGGGACAGCAGGGCAGCACACGTGCCAGCAGCACGGCCAGGTTTTGTGCAGCTGCACACAGCATCAGCCCCCGAGAGGAGGCCCTGTGAAGCACATGGCTGCTGTAACGCTGCTCACACGGCGAGCACGTCTTCCAGAAACAAAGCAAGGTGTACAAAAACCTCATGTGGTTCTACTAAATTCTTCTCTTCCAAAATTATAAAGAATTTTTGTTTAAAAAAACAACAAAACACAAAAGACAGTCAAAGGAGAGACCTAGAAAGAAGTGCTATATAAGACAACTTGAGAAGTCAGTCCCCGCTGCTCAGTGCATTAAAACCCTGTTCTGTTAAAGCTAAGACAACAGCCTGCAGCAGCACATGGCGACAGCCAGCACTGGGGGCACCAACCTCTGCCCCACTGGGGCAGCCACCATCTCTGTGCTGTACAACTTCCAGGTGCCCTGGAGTCCTCTGCAGTTCAATCCCTTGCACCACCGGCACGAGCCAAGCCTCGGTGTCATTTAGCAGCCAGGAATCCCTCACAGTCAATCAGACTTAATCAGATTAATGCTTACATGTGCAGTCATTCACCTTTCCCGTAATTTTTTTGAAGGCAGCAATCTGGATTGTGCAAATCAAAGAGCATCACCATCACTCTGCAGCAGACACCCCAACTCCTCTCTGTGCTCTGCCAGCGCTGGGCTCAGCAGAGCGTGCATTCAGCAGCTCAAATCCGTGCTCACACGGAGCTTTTGCCCTTAATATCCATCTTGCTGCCCGCCTCGGCCTGCTTGCTGAGCTGCTCCTCTGTGAAGGTGATGTAGGAATACACCAGGCTTCCTGCAATACTGCAAAACAACCACAACATGTGTCAGGGGGGGAGAATGTCCCCTGGTTTGTTTAATGCAACCCCAAGTGCACTCCTGAGCTGCTGCAGGGCGTGCTTCCCCTTTGCCTCCTGTCCTGCAGCAGGGTGAGGATGTTCCCCAGTACAGAAACACACCCTGGGGCAAAAAGACTTTTCCAAAAGCTGCACCAAGCTGTTCCTCCTGCCCAGCGCAGCCCAAAAACACACACTCTAAAGAAACATGGAATAGTTTGGGTTGGAAGAGACCTTTGAGATCATTTAGTTCCAACCTCCTGCTATAGGCTCTAGACCAGACTGCTCCCAGCCCCATCCAGCCTGGCCTTGAACACCTCCAGAGATGAGGCATCCACAGCCTCTCTGAGCAGCCTGTTCCATCTCACCACCTCACAGTAAAGAATTTCTTCCTAATCTCTAGTCTAAATCAACCCTTTTCCAGTTTAAAATCTCCATGTCCTTACCTGATATTTAGACCAATGAAGTTCATCCATGTAAAAATATAGTCTCCTCCAAAAAACATCCCAATATAGGTTATTAAAATATTCTGCAAAGAAACAAGAATGCGAGTTTTCACATGGCAACCACACACTGCAGTTCTTAAAGCAGTGCAGAGAAGTCTGAAATACACAAGTGCTGGTAACCCTGGATTACAGGAGGCCGATTTAGAGCCACTGGGAGACACAGCTTAATGGGGGCCTGGGTTTTGATGCTGAGCAGCCCCAGGTGCCCACAGGGGTGGCAGGGCTGCAGAGCCCGCATTGCAGGGCCAGCCCTGCTGAGTGGGCAGCTCACACAGGGCAGAAAACCCAGAATAACACACAGGAGCACCCACCATCTATTTCTGCAGCCAGCTTGTTCCACCACGGGACGAGGTGACCCAGAAGCTCCCGGTTATTTCTGCACTTCATTTGCCCAGGCTGAGCCAAGTCAGTGCCACGCAGCAAGAACTGTGCAAACCCACAGCTCTCCACACTGCAGCCAGCAGCACCCCGAGCACGGGGTGACCCCTGCACACCAACAGCTGCCCCAGCACTCAGCTCCCAGTGCTGCTGAGCATCACTCCCTTCCCAGCACCCCTTCCCCAGGGGCTTCTTGGAACGGCAGCAGCACAGAACAGGGAATCCCATGGGATGATAACTGGAGGAAGTTCAGCCTCCCAGCCAAACAGTCTCATGGCAGCAGCCACGTGGCATTGGAAAGCACAGCGCCGCTGGGCACAGCCCCAGCACTCTGCCAGCCCACGCACCAGCGGCTGCTTAATGCGTGCGACGAGCAATAATTACTGCACTAATTACTGCAACGCTCGCCCCGAGAGCGGAACCGCCGCTTACCTTAATGCAGCCAACTATTGTAGTTGTAAGAGCAGAATTGTACTGAGTGCAAAGAACTGTGGAGTACATCAAAATAAACCTGTGGGAAGAATGGCTGCGGTCAGATCCTGGGATGCACTGCAGCTCAACTCCCAGCCCTCACCCTAACCCACACCCAATCACTCCCATCCACCACAGGAACAATGTTTATCTACCACAGGACCAGTGCTGCTGAAAGACAGCAGGACTAGAGAGTCCCCTTCCCAACCCAGAATGACCCAGACCCTAGAAGACAGTATTGGAGGGATGGAGGTGCCCCCTCCACAGCCCATCATTCCAGCCCCACAGCCTTACCCCATCACGCAGGACAGCGTGAACTGCATGATGAACAGCATGTCTGCCCAGCCCTGGTACTCCATTGCCTGCAAGAAATAGAGGCTCAGAACACAGCAGCAAGACAGGAGCCAAATCCCTGACACGGGTTTACAGAGCACAGCAACCTTCATCCCGCTGGCTGTGAGCTCATACAGAGAGTTAACACGAATGTTGTGGGATGCTCAGTATCACAGAATGGCCAGGGTTGGAAGGGACCTCAAGGATCATGGATCCCCAACCCCCTGCCACATGCAGGGACACCAACCTCCTCATATAATGCTAGACCAGGCTGCCCAGGGCTCCATCCAACCTGGCCTTGAACACCTCCAGGGATGGACGGGGCATCCACAGCCTCTCTGGGCAGCTGTTCCAGCACCTCACCACTCTCATAGCAAACAACTTCCCTCTGATGCCCAACCTAAATCTCCCTCCCTCAACTTAAAACCATTTCCCCTCATCCTGCAGTTATCCACCCTTTCAAAGAGTTGATTCCCCTCCCCTCTGTAGGCTCCCTTTAGGTACTGAAAGGCTGCAATGAGGTCACCCCGCAGCCTTCTTTTCTCCAGGCTGAACAAGCCCAGCTCCCTCAGCACATCTTCAGGTGCTCCAGTCCCCTGATCATCTTCATGGGTCTCCTCTGGACCCTCTCCAACAGCTCCCTGTCTTTTTTGTGCTGGGGGCTCCACATCTGGACACAGTATTTCCAGATGGGGCCTCACAAGAGCAGAGGGGAACAATCACCTCCCTGCTGGCCACCCCTCCTTTGATGGAGCCTCAGTAATGCATCACCTCCCTCCTTCACCCCAGCCAACCTGCCCAGCACTCCAAAAGCTATAAAGAACAGCAGCCTCTGCCTCAGAGGGGTCTGCAACGTGCACAGCCCCCATTGCTGGGCCAGAGCCTGCAGCAAGGCCCAGCACCACATGGCACAGATGGGCGCCCTCCATCACTTGCTGGGCGCTGGGGCCAGGGGACAGCAAGCAAGCTACAGCAGCAGAGGGATTGCAGCAGCAACAGGGAGGTGTGGGCATGCTGGGGGGGCTGGCAGGAGCCTGGTGCTGTTCATGAAGTACAGAGCCCTCACCCAGGGAAGAGCAGCCCCAGCACCAGGGGCACAGGGATGGGGTGGGGGCACAGGAATCTGAGGCTGTAGGGTCACCTCCTTGGGGGATCCCCAACCTGACCTGGGTAAGGGACTGGGCATAGTTCTGAGGGTCCCAGCTTGGGGACAGAGGTGTGCCCAGGCTCAGCCACATCAAGATCTGGAGATTGGGGCAGAAGCCTTCCTTTCACAGCAGGGCTGAAAGCAGCCCCTACAAAGGGATGGAGTGATCAT